CATATGAAGGTTATTTTCTTTTAAAAAAAAGAGAATGTGTATCAAGCAGTTCTGGGCTGTGTATATATGATGAATAAAAATGCAAAGGAATGCAATTTTATCCCACAGATCAGGCACAGTCAGTCAGTGAGTGCTGCTGTGGAGCACGTTAAGTCAAAAGCTACTGCCCTAGGCACAACTCCAGCTAGAAGTTAAACTGAAGTACAGCCAGGAAGTGCTGCAATCCCACACCCAACCAAAACCAAACAGAAAGCACAACAGAAAGACTGAAGTCATTAGGTGTGCATACATAATATCTGGTCAAAGGTGTGTGAAGAACAGGAAGCTGTTGCAGACCTTGCAGAAGCAGCAGAAACTAGAAGGCACAGCTTCAGACAGGGTAGTGCTTCCATCCCCCAGAGAAAAGAGAGGTGGACACAAGAAGTATTTTGACTTGCACAGACAAAAGAGCAGAAGACAGGGAAACAGAAAGCAGCAGCCCTCTGGCTTGCAGAGAACAGATTCCTTAATGAAAATAAGCCTGATGGCAGGACTGAATTGCTTTGTATCTAACGAGTACCTAAATGGAAAAGTGGTTAATAACACTGACATATAACTTGTTTATATGTCTGAGACATTGTGTGTTAAACACTATGGCTTCCATGCTCTGCTTGGGAAAGTTGTTTATTTGATACGTCTCCCATCCCTACTCTAACTAGAACAATGTCATTAAGAACAGAACTGGAGCCCAACCTGCTGAGGTAACAGCAAAGACCTGGCAAAGAATGCTCTAAGAGAAGCCAAGAGAAAACCAGAGGAGCAATTAGCTCCTTAACTCAATGTGAGTTCTACCGTGCACTACATTTCTAAGAGTCTTCTTGGCATAAGACACTTCAGCAGTGTGGCTGGCAGGAAGCAGGGAGCACAAAGAGCTACAGCCATGGCAGGCACTCGCACCACACCAGATAACACATTTCTGTTGGTGGCTGCATGGTTGGCACATGATTCAGCAGCTTCAAGCGACACAACGAAATGCAAGCGAAGGAACCAGGACTGTTAATTTTGCAAGAAATTACCCTTAACAGATAAAACTTCCAAGTAAGCAGTGTCTGCCTGGAGAGGAAAATGGCCAAAGCAACTTTCTAGGAAGTTTATTCAGGGGGTCAGCAAAGCTGCTACACAAATGTCACATCCGCACTAAAAGTTCCTTCTACTGTAAATACGTCCATTGCCATTACACTCTGCAAGTCTGCCAACCTATAAAATATCAGCAAATCATTTCAACAACACAGGTTTCTAGTTCTTGAGTGATGCTGGATAACGCACAGGAAATCACTGATCCACTGAGGGAGTCAAGACTTCTGGATTGTACCAGGCCTGTTGATGGCACCATTCCCTGCACTGCTGCTTGGATCACTCAAAATCCATTCCTCATGCCCTTCTATTCCTGATGATAAGATTATAAATGATCAAATATTTTCAACTGTTGCTTAAATCTGTTGTTTAATTATTTAACTTTCTGCTCCCAGAAGTTAAAGCAGCCAACAGGCTAAGTAGCACCTGAAAGGGAGACCACCAAAAAAGGCACAAGCCACCAAGACATGATTCAACACTTGGCAAATCTCAGATGACAGAAAAAGTGACTTGGAAGAATTTACTCAACCTATTGTCTTGGTCTAGATGATAGAAGAGGAAAAGAAAAGACCAAGAAAGATTTGTTACACCAAGCCCATGCTGGAAAACTCACCCTTCTTTTCTAAAATAAGCAAACTAGTTTTTGCTCTCAGAGGACTATGAGATTCCTCTCATTGTTTCGGGAATTAAATATTGCGTTATGCTTTCCCTTCCATGAATACTCTAAAAGAACACAGCGATTTAACCAGAATCCCAACAGATGATTAAAACAACATAAAAGACTGAAAAGGAAGGGTTGTATTATATGAGATACTTAATGTGCCTCTTATAACAAATACAGGCTCCACTTGGGGTCAATACCTCAGAGAAAGTGGTAAGAAATCAGAATAGTAAGGGAAAGCAGGCAATGAAAGAATTTCTTGCATATTAAACAAGTGAAGAAGCTGCTTCAGCAAAGTGGTCACAGAAACAGGACACGCCAAACTCCTATAGTATGGGCAATTAATAAATTGTCTTTGTGAAATGAGTTGAAACATCCGAGTTTCAGCCTGAAACTATGAGTTGAGTTGAACATCAATTAATGTCTCAGCTGAGGTGCAAACTATTTCATTTTTAAACTAAAATAAGCTATTAAGAAAACATTAACCTGAATAGCAATGACTTGATGTAGGTTGGAAGTAGGGTGCACACAAACTCCTGGGAATATGGTAGGAAAAAAAAATTCTTTCTCAAAGTGTTATTGTGGAAGAATTAAGTGATTAAACTGACCGAAAGTGTGATGATTATTTAGCATTCTCCACAATTTTTGAAGATTTGTGCAATATGGATTAAAACAATGGCAATGACTTCACCTCAGCTGCTTTACTGTGCACCCCACTGCTAACTCATGGGATGGCCCTGCCATCTCTCTGTGATTGCCTTCAGGAAGCCGTGAGGAAGGATGCAGGCTCCAGGCCCCTGGCACAGACTGCTCATCAGAGTCTGTCAGAACCTTTTGATAGCAGTTCTCATCTAGGCATTTGCTACAGTTCTTCAGATGCTGAGAAAAATCACAAGTGACAAGAACTCACAGTTCCCTAACCTAAGAGAGCAACAACTTACAGTTCCATAAATTCCTAACACAATTCCCAACTCTTCTTCCAAGCCCAAGGTAGTGAGAAGCTTCAGCAAGCCTGTGTAATGCTCTTTCCACTGATCCTTGCTACCCTCAGAACAGTTTCCAGGAAGATATGAGCTATGGGTTCAGCAAATTCAAATGGCATAAAATTGCAAAGCCAATAAGAACCCAGTTGTTGCCCCATTTTTTCCTGCACCCCAGCAGCTCGTTTTGTGCTGGCAAAGTATCAGTGAAGTGAAATGAAAATCAGAAACTGGTCTGCTTTTCTTTTGCCCGACTAGTTTTAACAAAGAGAAAAAACAAACTGCCCCATTCTGCTTTAATTCTGCTCAGTTCCCCAATTTGGTACATAACAAACCACACAAACACCTGTGCTGGAAAGGACTTTGAAAGACACCACTGTGCCAGGACTGATTCTTTCCACTGCAGTGCCAATAGATTACTAGCCTCAAATGTTTACCAGATTCTCATTTCAGAATCATTTTTTTAATTGTAAATCACAGAAGATATGGAGCATTATTTTTCATTCTCTCCCAGGCAGTATAGAAACCCGAGAGAAGTTACATGGGTGATTCTTAAGAGAGATGCACTGACACATGATCTATGAGCCAAAATAGTCAGGACTTACATGCTTTTTTTTTGAAGTTCAACAGGTAAGGATGAAGTACACCTTTGAAAACTCTTTGAAAACTACTACGAATTTTTTGGTAACACGTCCCAGAATTTTTTTAATTAGTATTTGGCTATTTCAATTGTATACTGTCAGCTCATTTAACCAAAAAAGGTAGTAATAAAATTGTGAAGGAAAGTATATTTCCATGTTTCTGCCATTGCTGGTAGCCTGCAGGCCACATCAGATACTTAATAATATTTAAAATAAAGATTGGAGGGAACCTAGAGGAGGAGAAGGAGCAACAGCCTTCAAAAAAGGGCAGACAGACAGCAAGAATGTTCAGGGGCTGCACAAAACAAACACCAAACAAATAAACAAACCCAACCTGTTCACAAGATTAAATTATTTTCCCACAGTAATGAAAAAGTGAATCTGAACAGCTCATAGAAGTTACTGAAAAAAGTTATTTATGTCATTTTCACTGGGCTTTCCCCTTACTTTACACATACAGCACTTAGTTGCAGGTAGCAAAGATACTTAAAATACTGTTTCAAACCCTTTCTTTCAAAAATATCAGCTTGAATTCCTTTGAACTCAAACTGAGAATAATCCCAAAGTATGCCTCTACTTCCTAATCTGCTGTTTCTTATTTACTGTATTTTAAGTGATTTCTCCAAGTGAGACTATACTGGCAACTGTAAAGCTGTACGTCCATCTAGAGGGCTCTGCCAAACCTCACAGAGAAGCGCTGAATTCCAAACAAAAGAACTCACCACAAATTACTACACTAGCCACCATCTAACTGAGGAGCATGAGTGGATATTTCAAGGAGTCCCAGGACAACAGAGAGCAGAAATACACCTCTTACAAGTAAAGAATCTAAAAAGGAGTTGCTGATAAGACTACATTTGCAGTAACCTTAACTTATGCAAAAGAAAAAGTTTTTTTAAAAAATATGGATCTCAAAATAAGCTCCCACAAAGCATAGCTGTTCCAAGAAGGCTTACTCACTGCAACTTACATTTTAAAACAAATGACCCACTATTTTTACAAGAAAAATATTCTGCTCATATACATAGATAGAAATCACTTTGAAAAGACAAAATACAGCTACTCTGATGTACAGTCTTTCATTTCCATATGCTCAATGAACTCCAAGATCTTGTCTACAATTAATTTGGGGAGAATCACACACATCTATGCAAAGATGCAAAAATGCACCAACATATTTTAAGGTACATTAATTTAGTTTTAAAAACCCAGAGAAGGCTGTGGGTTAGATCAAGTATGACTATATAAACAATGTTGACATTTTGTGTAATGAATTACTGAAGAATAATAACTTGGATATGCTTAGGAAATCATATAGCTACACATACGTAAGATAAAAAAAATAACATAAAAGGATTTTCCCAACTGTATTTAGGAAAACAAAAATCTACAGCTTGTATTTTTCAACATTATTTTCAGCTATATAATAACTCCCCAAAATGAAACTTCTTTCTGTAACAAATGGTCCTCCAAAGCCTTCTGAATATAGAAGCTCAGAGTTACAAAAATCAGTACAATGACCATCAGTAAAGCATTTCTGACCACTCAGCTTCCTATGACTGAGATCACAACTATGTCATTGTTTAAGGGCCACTTGTAACTTACATCTATTTAAGAAATTATCAATGTTCTTGTTCTTCCTCAGTGCTGGATAATCCAGATCAAGGACCAAAGAATTCAAGCCGTCCTGAAAAAAAAAATAAAAACAAGTTAATTGAGTTCTAAAATCTTAATTAACAACTTCAGTAAAACTACTACGCTGAGACTGATTATATATTATTCAAGCATGCATTACATTCCTAGTAGGCAAATCAAACAAGCTCTCAAGTATGTTTATAAACCAGCAGAGGAGCTAACACACACTGACTGGCTCCAAGTTCTATAAACAGTACAGCTATATTACCACTGATTAGTGGCACTGGGACTTAAACTGGAGTAGTAGTTTTAATCTTATTCATTAAACACTGATTTAAGATACTGAGTTCAGTCAATCCATTTTTCCTATTTTCGTTCACAAGGATTTTGTTACACATTTTCTGCAAAAAAACATTTGCAGGAGATGTTTGTATTATCCATATTATTGCTCTGATCACAGTCTCTCTACCTTCTCGTTCTGGATATTTGAAAACCAACTGCTCATTTTTCTTAGAAGCAAGATGTGACCTAAACTTAAGAAGACAATTCACCATGTAATTCAGGCTCACAAGACTAGATTATTTTTTTCTAAGTGACTCAAAAGAAGGCAAGCCAGAACTCTACATACCATTCTGCTACCCATTATCAGTGCCTCAGCAGAAAACAATTGAGACCTCTTAAAATGGCAAGGGATGAGATCACCAAATCTAGACTAAAAATAGTATTTTAAATGCCTGTTACAAGACTTAGCTCAATTCCACCTTTCTGCAAGTCAGGAAAACTTAAAAAAATTACTCTAAAACACAAACACTTTTCCAGTTACACATGGACAAATAAAACTAAAAATTAGTTTCAGATAGTAAGAGGAGGCAGAGATACCATTCATTGTCAGCAACTCCAGTGTTCAGCCTGAACTGGCAGTTATATTCATTGCTCTAAGAACAAAATTCTTGGACTGTTTCTTCAGATTTTTGAACCTTGATAGGGCATCACAGAGATTTAAGTCAGAGACCATATCATGTTTATTATAGGCAGCCAACAGAACTAGACAGCTTTTCAGTCTTCTTAATAACTGAGGCTATAGCTAACAATCTGCTGATTTCATACCTTTTTCTTAAAATATCTGAGAAAATACTGAAAATATTGAAAATATCACTAAAATCACTCATTCTAAAAACATATCTGGAGAGTCAAAGGCGAGGCCTAAGATTATTAAATACATTTTGAATGCCACTTTGTCCTAAATACACACATACACAAATAAGACTACCTCTGCGGAGATGTCACTTTGCACCACAAAATACATTAATGGTTAAGACCATTCTCAACACTAAGAGATTTTATTTATTTATTCACTTTTTACCTCCTGACAAATGAAAGCGTTTTACAAAGTGTCACAGACACGCTGATGAAGTTCAGGTTAGACAAATGATTAAAAGCTGTCTGAAAGACTAGGCCCAGGAGACTGTGATCAGTGGCACAAAGTCCAGTTGGAGGCCAGCCACTGGCTCTGCACCCCTGGACAGAGAAGATTAACACAAAGTTCAGTAAGGGGAAAAGCCAAGTCCTGCTTTTAGGGAAGGAATAACCCCAGGCACCAGGTACAGGCTGCAGCCTGAGAAGCTGGAGAGCAGCTTTACAAAAAAGGACCTGAGGGTCCTAGCGAACAGATGATCCTTCCTCTCTGCTCAGTACTGATGAGGTCACACCTGGAGTGCAGCATCCATCCCTGGGCTCTCCAAATCACGAAAAGCAGGGATTTACTGGAGCGAGTCCAGCAATGGGCTGTGAAGATTAAAGCACTGGAGCACTTCTCAAAAGAGGAAAGGCTCAGAGAGCTGGGACTCATCAGCCTGAGATGGCTGAGATGCTCAGGGCAGGGGAGCTTATCAATGTGTATAAGCACCTGATGGGAGGGACTGAAGAAAAGGCAGTGCTCACTGACAGGACAAGAGACAATGGAGACAAGGTAGAACACAGGAAATTCTATCTGAAAACTACACCTTTTTTCCTGTGGTCAAGTACTGGAACAAATTGCCCAGAGAGGTTGTGGAGTCCCCACCAGTGGAGATACTCTAAACCTGACTGGACCTGGTCTTGGTCAACCTACTCTAGCTGACCATGCAATGAGCACGGGTGTTGCACTAGATGATCTCAAGAAGTTCTTGCCAACTGCAAACATTCCGTGATGTAACACCTGTAATATTTCCACTGCTGCTCAGAAAAAAGGTGGAATTTTATTCTTGAATCTATGTAACATAAACTGTTATGAATGTCTTACACATAGAGTTTTAGAACTTCCTAACAGAAAGAAACATAAAACAGTGTTAATAAACAAAAAGGGAAGACATAGAATCATAGAATCAGCCGGGTTGGAAAGGACCTCTGAGATCATCAAGTCCAACCTTTGATCCAACACCGCCGTGGTTACTAGAACACGGCACTAAGTGCCACATCCAGTCTCATCTTAAAAACCTCCAGGGACAGAGAATTCACCACTTCCCTGGGCAGCCCATTCCAATGCCTGATTACCCTCTCTGTAAAGAATTTCTTCCTAATATCCAACCTAAACCTCCCCTGGCAGAGCTTAAGACCATGCCCTCTTGTCTTACTGATAGCTGCCTGGGAGAAGAGACCAACCCCCACGTGGCTACAACCTCCTTTCAGGGAGTTGTAGAGAGTGATGAGGTCTCCCCTGAGCCTCCCCTTCTCCAGGCTGAACAACCCCAGCTCCCTCAGCCTCTCCTCATAGGACTTGTGCTCAAGTCCCTTCACCAGCCTCATTGCTCTTCTCTGGACCTGCTCCAGCACCTCAATATCCTTTCTGAACTGAGGGGCCCAGAACTGGACACAATACTTGAGGTGTGGCCTCACCAGTGCTGAGTACAGGGGAAGAATCACTTCCCTGGACCTGTTGACCACACTGTTCCTGATCCAGGCCAGGATGCCCTTGGCCTTCTTGGCCACCTGGGCACACTGCTGGCTCATGTTCAGCTTCCTGTCAATCCAAACTCCCAGGTCCCTCTCTGCCTGGCTGCTCTCCAGCCACTCTGTCCCCAGCCTGTAGCGCTGCAGGGGGTTGTGGTGGCCAAAGTGGAGGACCTGGCACTTGACCTTGTTGCACCTCATCCCATTGGAATCAGCCCAACTCTCCAGCCTGTCCAGGTCCCTCTGCAGAGCCCTCCTGCCTTCCAGTTGATTGACACTCTCCCCCAGCTTGGTGTCATCTGCAACTCTGCTGATGGTGGACTCAATCCCCTCATCTAAATCATCGATAAAGATATTAAATAGAACTGGGCCCAACACTGATCCCTGGGGACACCACTAGTGACCAGCTGCCAACTGAATGCAGCACCGTTCACCACCACTCTCTGGGCCTGGCCCTTCAGCCAGTTCCTAATCCAGTCAATAAAATCAATAAAGAAGGCACAGTAGTTGCTTTAATAATAATAATTATAATAATTATTTCAGCTTGATCATAACTGTTCCCGCAAGACTCATTACGGATAAAGGAGTGATGCACCAGGACATCATGCTCATCTTTCAGACAGATAGAAGACTTACTACCTATTCTTAATTTTGACAATATTTTTACAGAAGATAAAATAAAACCAAATCAAAGTAATGAAGTAGTTAAATAATTATGGATTAATCAGTTCATGAATTGCACAGGTATTGCCCAATAACCCGGACAAATCCAGTGGAAAGTACTGACTTCAGGTGACTTTCTGCAAAACAATATACTCTGCACTACTCTTTATTTAGCAAACACCACCTTCCAAAAAGGATACCTCATTCTGGAGCACAGTGTGCCAGCAGAAACACAGATCCTCACTTTGCCAAATGTAGAGAAGGACCATGCTGAAGGCCCCAATGGAGAACAGCTGGGCCACCTTTTAGGATTTTACCTAGCTCAGTAAAGTACCAACTCCAATTAGCTGGCAGTCTACACACACCACTGAACTCCAGCATTCTTCTTTCACTGCCACAATATTCTCATGATCACTAACAACTGGGCAGACATTTTAAGGGAGATGTAAAAGCACTCTGTGCTAACACAAATCAGCCAGGCATACTTCTGTTCTTTGTATTTTGGAGGAGAAGAGAGGTGAGGTCACCTGATATTTTAATGCTTTTCATGCAAAGGTATTTTAGTGGTCAACCAAGAAACCCATATTCAGTGTGCTTGACTTCCACTTTATGCAAAATGTCAGGGAAAAGAATAAAGTTATCAACCCCAACAAAAATTTTTGTGAAGTTGGATTACAAGGTCCAAACCAACTGTAACTTCCAATTTGAACTGAGCTGTGTATTAAAATTTCAGATGTCACTGTCACTGTCATTCTGATTCCACAGCTTTTTTTGTGGGCTATAAAAACTGAGAACCATATTTGCAGCTAATTTTTTTTATTAGCTCTTTCTGCCTCTTTTTCATGGACTCCTGTTAACAATTTTCACCAGTAGCTATTAATGAATGGTAATTTGAGAAAGTGCAACTGACTATTATTAACTATTATTAACTATTTGGAAGTGTTCTAACTCTTGAAGACAGCCAGCTACAGGTGGTGCCAAAGAGAGGTGATTAGTATCATCACCACAAGGAACAGAAAGTGTCAATTTTTTTTAACCCTGTGAACAAGTTTTATTATCATACTCCACCAAAGACAAGTGTTTTTTTTTTTAAAAAAAAAGCTTTTGAACAAAATATTAAGTTCATAAGTTCATATCAACAGGTAGTTTATGAAAGACTTGTCTGGCACATTAGCATTTTGTCAAAAGTTGTTTCCTTAAAGCTTTACATTTTCACTGAAAGACCTAGTTTACATTACTTAACACAAAAATTCACTGCAATTAAGAAGCTGGGTCAAAAGATTACAGTAAAACAGACTGTTCAGACTGAAGAGAAGTAATCCAGGAAATGACGTTGCCTCTGTCTAGGCCTCACAGATAAGTCACTTCAACCAGGAAATATGCTATTAAAGGGATTTCACTGTTCACTTCCTCTTTCTGCTCTTACAAAAGACTCAGAAGCTCACAGGCCAAAAATAGCAG